GGAGCCTCAAGCTATCCCCCTGGGTAGAGTGCCATGGCATCACGCTCACAGCAACCTCCAACTCCTGGGCTCAAGCAAGTCTCCTGCCTCAGCCTCGCAAGTAGCTGGGACTACAGGCACCCGCCACAATGCCTGGCCGTTTTTTGGTTGCAGCCATTATTGTTGTTTGGCAGGTCCGGGCTGGGGATTCGAACCCGCCACCTTAGGTGTATGTGGCTGGCGCCTTAGCCGCTTGAGCAGATAAGATTCTTGTAACTAGTATGAAGTCCCATATTTGAATTTTTTCTGTGTTTTAGTTTAAGTCCTTTTAACTCTCTCTCTCTCCTCTTCCCCACTTGAAAATCCAATTTTATGCATTTCCTTCAGTTATTATCACATTTCTATAGTCTTTAATCTGGAATGATTCCACAGCCATTGTCTTTTTTGTTCCTGATATTTTTGAAGAGTATAGGCCAAGTGATCTGGACAAAGGTGTTTATTTGGTTTCCATTATGCATTGTTGGCAGGGATACTACAGAAGCGGTAAGGTGTCCTTTTCATTGTAACATAGCAGGCTGAATAATGTCCCTTGGTTGGTGACCTCCATTTTCTTCACTTGGCTAAGGTGATGTTGGCCAGATTTTTTAAATTATAAAATTACTAATTTTTTTAATTAGTGAAGTTTTTATGGGTAGATACATTTATTAGGGGTTATTCTATTGTAAAGATAAACTTCCCTTCTCCCCATTGGCTTTATTCAAAACAAATAGTTTGTCAGTATAGACTCAGAATCCAGTTTTGTTAAGTGAAATGACAAGTAGATTAATAATTATTTACTCCAACTTTATTAAGGTGTATGTTATATATCATAGCATTTACTCATTTCAGATGTATAATTTAGTGATATTTAGGAACATTGCTGAGTGGAAAAACTATCACCATGATTCACTTTAGATCATTTTCATCCCTCAGTTAGTTTCCTCATTTACAGTTTCCTCATTTCCCCTATTTACAGTTAATCCTCATTCTCACCCCACATCCCATCTACAGATCTTTCTCCTTGTATACATTTGTCAGTTCTGAACATTTCACGTAAATGAAGTCATACAATCTATGGCTTCTTCCTGAGTGGCTTCTTTCACATAGCAAAACGTTTCCAAGTTTCATGCATGTGGCAGCATGAGTCAGTACTTCATTCCTCTTAATTTCCAAGTGAGATTCCATTGCATGGATGTGCCACAGTCTGTCCCTTTACCCATGGGAGGACATTTTGGTTGAATGTGGTTTGGGGTTACTGTGAATAATGCTGCTGTGAACATTCATGTGCTAATTCACAATATATGTCCATGTTGGTGGGCGGTATCCCTGACCACTCTTTCATGTCTCTTTCTGCCTTCCTAGCGTTCTAGTTATGATTCTGCCTTCATAGGAATCGCAGAACTGGGACTCTGCAAATTCCCAGAAGTGGAAGAAAAATGGCCGTATTCAAGGTAATACAATGTGTGTGTGTTTTCCTTTTTTGACCACAATGTCTCCTTCTGTTGTCTGGACTACAGTATAGTGGCATCATCACTGCAACCTTAAAGACCTGGGCTCGCATGATCTTCCTGCCTCAGCTGTCTCATGTAGCTGGGAGTACAGTCATGTGCTACCATTCCTGGCTAATTTTTCCATGTTTATGTAGAGACAAGGAATCATTATATCACCTAGGCTTGTCTTGAACTCCTGGCCTCTAGCAATTCTCCTGCCTTGGCCTCTGGAAGGGCAAGGGTTACAGGCATGTGCCACCATGTCTGGCCAGTAGTGGAGTATTAACAGCCTTTCTTGCTGTTAAAATTTTATCTCACTACTCAAATTGTCACACATGTTTTGCCATCTTGGGAAGACTTGAAGAGACTGACTGGCATTTGTGGACCTGTTTTACGCCAGAGTCTTACTTTGTTCCGTTTGAGTTGACTTTGTTTTTAGATTTTGTTTATTTTATTATTACAGTTGGCCCTTAGTATTTCCCCATTGAAGGACACTGTGGTGTGGTTGTCCAGAGTGTCCTGCTAGGTGATGACATCCACAGGTAGGGCATTTTTTATCCCTACCCCTCTCCTAGGAAGACCTCTTCTCTTCCTTATATAGTATCTCCTCAGGTGCTCCAAAATGTTTGGCACTCCAGGTGTAGAAGGATGGCAATTAGTATGGTCATTATATAAAGTCTTTAAATTCCTCTATGACAAAAGGTATCTTATAAGAATTACCAGAAAATTGGGGCAAAATATTGGGGCAAAAATATTGACTACATAGATACCAAAAAAGAAACTAAAGTCCATAATAGGAATCTTAAGCATAAGGAAAACTCCCTTATGGTATATGAATAAAGAAAATGAAGAGGCAAGTGAAAACGGAAAAAGGGAAACAGCCAATAAACATTAGTATTTATTTGTAATCTAGTGAGAATAATAAAAGGAATTGTTCTTCCTAATCAGATTGCCAAATGGAAAATTTATAACCTGCTCTTAGCTATTGTATAGAGAAACTTGGTGCTTATATTCTCTTGAAAGATTAGAGAGGTAGGAAAAAAGTTGGGCGGGAAATCTGCCATGATATGTAGGATGGTCATAATTTTAAATGTGGTTTTTTAAAAATATGTTTTTTTTTCTTTTGAGACAGTGTCTCACTATTTCACCCTCGGTAGAATGCCGTAGAGTCACACCTCACAGCAAGCTCAAACTCTTGGGTTAAGCAGTTCTCTTGCCCCAGCCTCCCAAATAGCTGGGACTACAGGCACCCACTATAACGCCTAGCTATTTTTTTGTTGCAGTTGTCATTGTTTTTCAGCTGGCCTGGGCCTAAGGTGACCAGACGTCCCACTTTTGGCAGGACAGTCCCAATTTTTAACAGTTTGTCCCATGTCTCGCAGTGTTTTAAAACAATCCCGATTTTTGGAAAGAATGCACGACAAGCTAGGGAATGGCAGGAGAACAGGAAGGGAATATACAGTTTTCAGCTGCCATGTGGCTATTTCACCCAGATGTGAGTTTTATATTATTTTTGTTAATTTTACAATGTTAAACTTTAATAATACAAATAATTGAGAACTGATTATCGAGAACTGCTTATCAAAGTTCGCATTGTCAATCAGTTGTTAGAATTCGACCACCATTGTTTGGACTTAACAAACAATGGCATTTTTTGGCATTGGCAATGATGAAAATGGTTTGTAACTGTTTCTCAGACAGTACACATTGTACTGCGTGCTAGTGCTAGTCAAACAAGTGATGTCAACAAAGCAGCTATTCAGATAATTTAGGTAAGTAATTTATTTATTTCATGAATTTTTTTTTTTTTTTTGAGACAGAGCCTCAAGCTATCCCCCTGGGTAGAGTGCCATGGCATCACGCT